ACCTTTGCTTCTTTATACGATGTGATTCTATCCCACTCAGCTGTGTGTTGATCATTTTATCCTCATACTTCATGCAAAACAAGACTAAGCCCACATATCCTACTGACCACAGTCTATATACCCCTCATTTCTCTCCTACAGATTCTTAACCTCTACTAAGTTCACAGCCACCAACATTGGTTTCAGCTAAAGATTTTGAAGCAGAGACCCATGCAAAACTGCATGTCAGTTATTCAGTTCCAAACATGATGACATAATCCTAACGACTTTACACTTAGGTATAAAACAAAGTTAGTTAAGGCCAGCATAGGTTAACTGAGGCCATACTAGGAAAATTAAAGTTATATATATTAGGTTAATGAATGATATAGTGAGTAGGGTAATGTTATGTCAGGGAAGGTTGAAAGGAGTGCGAGTAGACTTATCACAGACAGCTAGGTTTTAAAAGTTGGGGCTGCCTATTGAAACGTGGAAGTGTGTTCCCATAGAGTTTGATAGTCCGAAGGACCATGTTTTATAATTGTTGTTGGTGTTAATATAGTATTCAGGGAAAGCATTAAACTCGTGGTGACCATATAGCGCCTGGGGAATAAGTAATTAGGAGCAACCCTCCAAGGGCACTCGCTTCTTCGAAGGGGGATCTGTTGGTGAACCTGGAGAGATGTCTCACCAGCACAGCTTCAGGGATAAGAAGTCCTGGCTTAATAGTCACAGATTCAGAAGGAAAGCATTGGATATGGTTCCCACCAGAAACTCATTTATAAACGTGAAGAGCAGACATAAATGCAAAAAAGAGGACTTCAAAGGATCGAGGAGAGTAAATGATATAAGACAGTGACGGTATAGGAGATATCAACATAGGCGAGAGTGAGGAAAACACACACGTTGCAAAACAAACTTTTATTGGGACAACGTCACATTGTAGAGCTTTATCGAATCATAATTCGATAAAGCTTTACACTGAGTAAAACCTTGTATCTATAAAAGTTTTTTCACCAACGTGGTTTATTTTTTTTATCTCTTGTTGGCAGTATGCCATCAGCATCGATGGGCAAGGGTAACAAGCAAAGTTCCTCAAGGATAAGTTCTTGGACCATCTGCCAGTGATGTAAAACTGAAAAATATATAATTGGGAACGGATAGGAACATTCTCCTGGAATTCTTAGGTTGCATTTGAGATCAAACAAATTTCTACTTGACTTCAACCCCAGCAAGTGCAAGTCATGTAGATCTGGGAAAGAGAAGGGAGACCGGAGGCAGAGTACAGTCTGGTTGGAAAGATGCTACAAATAACGGTGAAAGAGGACCTAGGACTAAACATCATATTCATCATCATTAATTTATTGGTTAGAGATATGTATTGTATATTCGAGTTGATTAAATCTTAGGGGAACCTTCATGAATCTTAATATAGTGTATTTTAGGTTATGACGTGATGCGTCAGGCTTATGGAGTACTTAGCACCAGTCTGGTGTGTCTTCCCTGGATATGCTGGTGTGAAACTCTTGATCCAAAGAATTGAAGCTGCGCTCTCTTTCCTCGGATTAAACCTGATTACCTCCACTCCCCGTTTTTCCAAGGGCTGTTTGACCGTCGCAAGTTTAGGGCTTTCCAGGGAATATGAAAATTAGATGAACCACAGGAACATTAAGAGGTACTTATTCTCAGGGATAAACATGAAAGTGGTAGAGGCAAATTTCATACTGTTTTAAGAGTAGCTACGATAGAGCCCAAGAGGAAGAAAATTATTAATGCCTTTTAACATAGTATAAAAGGCGGGCTCAGGAGGTAGATGAGATTCAAATCTTTTCCTGTTTCCTGGCAGATCTTACCTAATCTAACCGAGATTCGAACATAACTAGTTGAGGACAGGCACACCACAGGAACACCGCAGATAACGATGCAAGCAAATCACGGGTACACCAAATAAGAGGTGGCAACATAACCCGGAAATTGACAGTATAATGCTACACGTATGACAAGGTTTGTCACAGCAAGATAGTCAGGCAGGCTGACAAGAGGGAGGGGGGAATGCATAGAGGTTGGCTGGCAAGCCAGCTGATAGGGAGGGGTGACAGGCTGATTGGCAGTAGGAAGTGAGCTAGACAGGCAGGCTGACAGGCAGTCTGGGAGTGAGGCAAGTAGCCTAGGAGGGGGGGGGGATTCAGAGTGGCTTTACACCCGAGAGGTGGTATGTTGGCAGTGTGAGCTGGCGGAAGGGTAGAGGGGCAGGGATTAAGGAAGGGTGATTTTTCTGACAAGTTGGCATTCTAGATACTGCGAAGGGTAATGTAGTGACGGAGAGGGGCAGGGAGTGGGTGGAGAGATATGGGAATCGATGGAGAGGGAGAGGTGGTGAGCGATGGAGGAGTAGGTGGCGAGGGATGGGGAAGGATTGGGTGGTAAGTGATGAGAAAGATTGGGTGGTGAGGAATGGTTCTCGCAGTATATGATGATCCCAGTTAAGATTAAGCACTTTGCATAAACACACACACAAACACAATCGACAAGGTGGACAGAGACAAGATGTTCCAGAGATGGGACAACTCAAGAGGGTCACAGTTCGAAGTTGAAGACTCGGATGAATCACAGGGATGTTAGGATGTATTTCTTTAATCACAGAGTTGTCAGGAAATGGAATAGTCTAGGAAATAATGTAATGGAGGCAGGATCCATACATAGCTTTAAGAATAGGTATGATAAAATTCATGGAGCAGGGAATGATCTAGTAGCAACCATTGAAGAGGTGGGGCCAGGAGCTGTGAATCGACCCCTCCAACTACAACGAGTACGCACGCACACACACACCACACACACACACACACACACACACACACACACACACACACACCACACACACACACACACACACACACACACACACACACACACAAGCGCAATATTTTAACATGCCGGCCATCTCCCACCGAGGAAGGTGACCCGAAAAAGACACTTTCACCATCATTCACAATATCACTGGTTTGCCAGAGGCGCGCAGATACAACAGCATAGATGTCACTTTAAACAACAAATATCCCAAACCTCTCCTGTAGAGTGCAGACATTGTACTTCCCACTTCCAGGACTCAAGTCCGGCTAATCAGTTTCCCTGAATCCCTTCACAAAATAATACTCTGCTCACACTCCAACATCTCGTCAAGTCGCCAAAAAATATTCGTCTCCACTCTTGTCTTAACACTCACACACATGCCTGCTGTACGTCCAAGCCCCTTGTACACGAAACCTTTACGCCCTCCCGCAATCCTAGGACAACCCCTACCCCCACTTTCCCTCCACTACAAATTTATACACCCTTCAAGTCATTCTATTTTGCTCCATCTCTCAAATTGACCAAATCACCTCAACCCCTCCTCAGCCCTCTGAATAATACTTTTAGTAACTCCACACCTCCTAATTTCCACACTACGAATTCTCTGCATAATATTTATGTCACACATTGCCCTTAGACACGACATTTCCACTACCTCCAGCCTCCTCGCTGTAACATTCAAAACCCATGCTACACACCAATATAAGAGTGGTGGTAACAATATACTCATACATTCCCTTCTTTGCCTCCATGGATAATGTTCTTTGTCTCCACAGATACCTCAGTGCACCATCCACCTTTTACCCTTCATTATTTCTATGGTTTACCTCGTCCTTCATAAACCCATCCGCCGACACTTCCACTCCCAAATATCTAAACACATTCTCTGCTTCCATACTCCCTCCCTCCAATCTGACATCCAGTTTTTCCTTGCCTAACTCGTTTAATACCCTCATCACCTTACTCTTGTCTATGTTCACTTTATATGTCGTGTGGAATAGATAAAACTGGTCAATTAGCAAGAACACGTTTTAAATTAAGTCCTTTCAAAAATGTTCTCTTATACGCTTAAAGATATATATATTTTTTAATTTATGTTAATGTAAAAATTAATAATTTTGTACCAAAAGAACCTTAGAAAACCTATCTAACCTTATTATAACAAGCGCAATTTAATTTTGCTTAATCCAACTAAATATATTTTACAGCAATTTAATAATAAACAGACAAGAGTTAATTTCGTTATATTCTTTACATTAAGTATTTAAATGTTAATGAGTCAGAATATTCACATGAAGGTTGAGGTTTGTTGCTTCGCATACCTTGACGATACTCGTATATGTTACTTCAGGTAGGGAGGGGGGTTGAGGATACCTTGATGCAGGTGAGGGAACCCTGATGCAGGTGAAGGGTTCTTGATCCAAAGACTCAGAGCTGACCAACCTTTCTTTGGATCAAACCTGATTGCACTCAATGCCTAGCGTTGTATGACCCCCTACTGGTTTAGCTCTTCTCCGTGATTATAATAATAAAAGTCCCTCAGCTGCAGTGTTAGGAAATGCTTCAAACTTGCAGTCGCTTGGGGAATTTAAGAAAGAAACTTGGCCAAACTGTGAAATAGTTTTTAGACCGAGTTTGGTGTGGAGTAGAGTTGGTTTCATGAGATGTCGTGAAGATAAGTGAGCAAGAGTAGTGAAGAGACAGTAGTCGAGTGCCTTACACTCGACCATCTGGAAAATATTTCCTTGTTGCTACCCGGAAATATTTTGTTAGTTTTCTCTTCAAGAGGGTGCCTTGTTTCTAGTGAAGGAATCTTGATTCAAGGAAGTAGAGCATCCCTCTCCTTGGATCAAGCATGATTACCTTCAATTCCTCATGTGCTGCATGACCCTTAGGGATTTATCCCTGTTCCATTAGTAATGATAATGTGTTCGTGATAGACACCTACATGCATCTGTTATTTATTGGAATACAGGTGTCATGTAGCCAATTTTATGTAACAACTAATGTAGCCTTGCTTACAAGTTTCGTCTCTTGGCAACGTCTGCTCAGCTAGGTGCTAGGCTGTTGCTTCTGCCTCAAGTTTTTTTTTTCCTGTTTTATTTCCTTGGTGTGCTGATGCCTGCTAAAATAATTTAAGATTTTTTTGACGATTTGTTTCGTTATTACAGAAGGGACGGAGGGTGTGAGCCCTGGGGGCAGTGGGCGACCGCTGCCACACCTAAGGTAAGTTGACCACTCACACGCTGTTTCCTCTTCAGGACACACACACTGCTACGTTGTCACACCAGTGTCAACACGGCCAGCACTTGGGGAATGAGGCAACGGCGTAGTTGGCAGTATCTAAAGGAAAACCAAGCATTGTATTTGTTAAATCCTTGTAGTTGTGTTGCGGGTCACGGCGTTTGCAATGTACTGCCAAGGTGAGAGGGTATACAGCCCCTTTCATTAATTAATGTTTTCACCATTCCGATGGCCGTCAAGTCTGAAAACAAACAAATTGCAGAATAGGCTTTTATTGAGACATTTTGTTGTTACTTAGTGACGGGATAAAGCTCTGCAGAGTGCGAAACATCAATGAAAGCTTGTTATGCAATTTGTCTCTGTCTTATTTGTCAGAAATACGAAATTTCATCCAGCTGTCGAGACTACTCTGTGGACGGAAACAGCCGCCGTCGCTGTTGAACTCATAGGAGAATGCTTGATGATATCCTCATCACTTTGCTGAAGTCTCTGAACTCAGGCTAATAGATTTCACTACATGATGTAAAAAGAAAAAAATACTTCCTGTGGTAAAAAATGACAGGGGAAACCGCTAGCTTTTGTTGTCACAGTGTAACTTGTATAGAAGAGGGTAGGCAAATACTGGTGGTGACAGTGGTATTCAGTGTTAGAAAAGAAAGCTTTGCGGTGAGTGATTAGTCTGACAGAGTTATATGCACCTCATACTCATCCTGTGGGTGGTAGTTAAGGATTACGCAGACACAATGTATCCAGGAACTGGGTTGCAACGTTCTAGCAAATCAACTTGCAGTAGTAATAATCTCTACTAAAGTGTTGGATTTAGTTACACTAGTGAATTGATTTCACGGTGAATGCTGTTACAAAAACATTACAAAAAAGCATATTCAATATGTTACACTGCCAACGATTCAGGTAACTGAACAAAGGTAGCAAGTTACCATGAGGCGCTGTCTGCATTACTTGTTCCGTATCTTTTGTCTCAGTCCTTATAGGAGGGTGCCTTGATTCTGGCTAAGGACCCTTGATACAAGGAATTTGTAAACCTCCCATTCTTCGGTTCAAGCCTGATGGTTTCCCACCCCTCCCATGCCACAAATTTTGCGCTTTTTAAATAATTATAATTGTGGTAACAGCACCATCTACCGCTATCACTACAGTTACTTTTTTAATTCACAAATAGCCCACAATTAAGGAAAGGATCTTGGGACGACTTTCAGTCAGACGTAGACAGTTAAAAAGTCACATTGCTAAGTCAGATGTGATTTAATGATGGTCCAGTTTTGGTCTCTGCGATGTTTTTTTTATGTAGCGTTTAGTTTATCACTTGACTTGAACTTTCAGTCGTCATATATCATAACTTGGCTCTAAGTTTACATTGTGATATATTTGTGGAAATTTTTGGATTTTCCTAAATTCAGCATGGGTAAATTTGAATTTTACAATAATTGTGTAATAAAATGTGATGCTAATTTGACCCTTTCGAGAAATTTCGAGTGAGGAGGGGGGAGGGTTGAAGAGCTGCTTTTTGACGCCGGGGGGGGGGGGGGGAGACGCCACATTGAATTTCAAGTATGTACACTGGTTGTTACAATCGTCTAATAATCCAGTGTCATCGAGGCCATAATGGGGTGTTTTGGCCTGGATTTGTAATAGGAACCCGTGTTAATGTTCCTTGCTGAAGAATTGGGACAGGAAATTTTCAAGACCTCAAGAATTACATGTGGATGGTGGAAAATAAATGCAGACATCACTCATAGGGAAGTGCACCATAGTCTTTGCATTAAGATCACTAGCTGGTCAGTGTAGGGTCTAGGTGTTAGGCATGTGTTGTGGTGTGATCCATCTACAGTAATTAAATGGTAAATGTTAATACCAATTATATTTGTTGTTCACAGCAACCTTAATCCTTTACAGTCCACATAACCATAATTACCAGAGTAGCTGGTTTTAATATTATAATTATTAATTTAATGTCAGGTCTAGCTCTTTGTATGAGTAGTGAGGAAGTGGGCAATCGAAGGAGTAGCAGTTCAGTGGCCTACTGTGATTTAAACCCACTTCAACCCAATTACTTGCAGGTAATAATTCAGGTAATATCCTGTAAACCTCCTGCAGGTGATTTGCTATAATAATAATAATAATAATAATAATAATAATAATAATAATAATAAATTTCCACAATATTTATCGCTTTGTTTAACATTGCATTGTGATATAGGTTGTGATACTTTCATTATCAGTAGTATATAGTATAAGCGCTAAAGCTGTAACGGTCACTCAGTGCCTAAGGAGTGGGAGGCATCGTCACTTAACTAGCATCACTAGCAAAATGAGTAATAATAATAATAATAAAACACTAGCAACACTAATACAGCATTGTGTATATATTGAAGGTCTAGGCCAGGGTAGCCAGAAGTGGCAAATTGGCCATGAAAGTGAGGCGAATTTTAGTTTATCATATTTTGGGTCTAATTGTAAATAATACAATTAGACGTGTTCTGGTTGCAACTTGGCATTCCGTGTCCGGCCTTATGAATAACAGTGACAATTTTTTTTTTTACTTCTAAGCCACATTTGTAGCTTCATTTAAAAATAAGTGTCCCACCTATGTGCGTTATTTACTAGAGCCGCACCTCCACCACCCATTCAAAAGGAGGTTCGTTGACTCCGGTATGAGACTCTTGATCCAAGGAATGGTTCTTGACCTCTTCCTTGCTTCGAACCTAATTGCATTCCAGTCCCCAGGCGCTGTATGACTCCTTGAGATTTAGCACTTCTACCTATGATTGTAATAATAATAATAATAATAATAATAATTAGAAAAGCACCAACATTAGAGAAAAAATCTCCATGAAGGAAATTTCGTCGTCAGCATGGGTGGCGTGCAGTATTTACAAGTTGGTGAACTTGGGCTGAAGAGTGTTTTGCTATAATTTATGGATTTTTATAAGATATCTTCACTATAAAATGTCTTTGTTGACGTTGAGCAGGAGGTTGGCACGAGGTGCTTTACATTAACACCCACTCACACACTGTTTACATTACTGATGACAGCCCATTCTTGAGTGAAGACCATTACGCACTTTACGCTCTAACAACACTCATAGCGACGAGAAGAGGTTCGTAAGTGAAGACGATCGCACTTGCTCTCCAACACTCATAGTCACGAGAAAAAGTTCGCGAGTGAAGATCACAAACTTTGCATTCTTAACAACACTTAGAGACGAGAAACAGTTCATATTCAGTTAATAGGTCTCATAGTTGCGATAAATAATCCTGTACCAATAATAGCGGTCGTATTTTAATTGGGAACCTCTTGTTTCTCTTCATTTTCTCAAGAAATTCCTGTTCCTTCACTCATCACCCAAATTTGGGCAATATTTCTTCACCAGAAGCCCATCCTCCTAATCAACGTCCAGTGACACTGGAATAAAAACATTGGCCAGTTGGTCTTAACTTGTTTGGTGTGGGTCTCCGTTTTGTGTTCGCGCTTCGAAAGTTTCTATCGCCTTTATGCATTTATTGATGTGACGGTATGTTATGATTCTGATTATGACAGTCTACCCTAACCTAACCATATCAGACTAAACCAACCTTCACCTGACCTGACCTAAATAACGTTTATCGTCAGAAATCAACGTTTGCTTTAAGAGGACGGCCCCTCAAGGAAGGTTCCTTGATGTTGGTGAGGAGCTCTTGATTTAGGGAATTGGATCTGTGCTCCAGTTCCCCGAATTAAGCCTGAATGCCTTCCACATCCCCCCCCAGGCGCTGTATAATCCTCCGGGTTTAGCGCTTCCCCATTGATTATAATAATAATTTAGGAGGACGGATTGTCCCAGGCACGAAGCTGGATTCGATACGACGCAGATTGTTAGTGACTTTAAAGCTCCAGTGAGAAGACGAAGACATTTACAAACTTTGCTTTCTATAAACGCTTGTAACTCAAGAAATATTTCGGCTGCAAAGACCCTATGAAATTTTAATTCAGTTTGTGCTATGTCGATCTATTAAGTCAGTTTACTGCCATTCACTGGGGAATTGTCATTCACCTGTTGAAGGTGGTTACGATGGCATTAAAAAAAAAAAAAAGCGTCAGCTCTCCTGGCGTACTAGTGACGTCAGGATTGTTGGCAGCCACCTCAGCAAGGTTCTGGCAGTGAGTGTGGCGGGAGACATCGCCAAGTGAGAAACATGGGGTCCTGTGTCTTGAGCTCAAGACCAGCTCTGAAAATAGGACCCATTTTCTGCCATGGGACCCACTGTTAATAAGGCTACCGCTCTGAGCATAGGACCCCTTTCTGAATATGAGGCCCACTGCTATGCTTACGACCCACTGCTCTAAGGATAGGACCCGCTCTGAGTATAGGGCCGATATGTGCTTTGAAACTACTTGTAATCTCACATTCAGGAGTTAAAGATCGCAGCAACACTTGAGACATCTTGCAAGGAATTTGCCCGACTTGTTTCTTCCTGGCATGCTGAAGTAGCATTGCACTTGGTTGCAGGAGCTACGACAACCACGAGGAGCACCTGGGCGAGCTTGCTCAAGGCTAGAAGCAGGAAGAAGACCAAGTGTAAGGTCGCCTCAGGCCTCGTTACCTTATCTGTATATCTGTTGAGCTCTCAGCCTCAACGCCCTGTAAACCAACACAGGCAACCTGCTGTACATTGCTGGTGGGATACCCCGGTATGGGACAGGTGCTAGACTCAGTGTGTGTAAAATTCTAGGTGTGAGCGGGTTCCTGGGTAGGTTGTTGGGTGAGTGGGGGTGGGTTGCTGGGTATGTTACCTAGTAGGCGGTGAAATGTCTGATTCAGGTGGCACTGACATATGTGGGGATGGGAGGGGTGAGAGTACCTTTGCGGGTTTACGGAATTTATTTGAACGAACGACTCACGGAGCTGAACCTTAATGCAGGGGAAAACAAATGATGCTGAGATAGAACTTTATGTGTAGACATAAGATTTAATAAAGCGTAG